GTTTTTAACTGTGAAATAACATAAAACATTTACTTGAAAATTCCCTATGAATGTTATATAAGCAGGATACTATCTACTCAGTTCATTTTGAGCACTTATTCTGAATTAGGTATCGTAGGGGAACCAAAATGAACTGGTGATTCTTGCATAGGTAAAGATACAGAGTAGTCATTGTATATAAAGTCCTTAATTATGATAATGTAATTATGTGCAGATTAAGATAATAAAAAGTCCACATGCTTTATCAGTCAAACTGAAATGTCTGAATCATTCTTTTATTCATTGAAGTTATTATAGTATATCCTTTTATTTTAACTAGCTACAATTTACTAAGTAAAATTTATATTCTGTGCTAATGTTACTCTAAGAGAATGGGGTGAAGATTGGAAAAGTAAACATTGTGTTTGTGTAATAAATGTTTGAATTGATAAATGAATATATTTGGTTTTCAGATAAAACTATGGTTTGACAAGGTTGGTCACCAATTAATAGTTACAATTTTGGGAGCAAAGGATCTCCCTTCCAGGGAAGATGGGAGGCCAAGGAATCCTTATGTTAAAATCTACTTTCTTCCAGACAGAAGGTAAGGATATAAAGCAAAAATAAATGTTCTGGAAAATAAATGAGAAAATGTTAATAGCAATGGGTATTTCAATTCTATATCATTTATTGGTATCATATGTGAAGTTTAACATAAATGTGGTGGTTCTTAGGAATCAAAATAGTGACAGTAAATATTTAGGATTTTAAAAACAAACATTGTATATGTGATTTGAATATTAATTTTAGGCATGTGTGTATTATTTCTTGTATATATGTTCATTTTTCAAAATCCGTAAAGATTATGCTTCCAAAAATCAAAATTTTAACACAAATTGTAGAGTCAAAAAGCTAAAATACTAAAATTTTTAGTCTAAAATACTAGCTTTCTTAGTCAAAAACTAAAAATACTATGAAAGAGTATTCATATTTCTCTACAATTTCTACCTCCCCTTACCAAGATATTATTTCTCTCTGTTCTGTAAATTTAACAAGTATGTTTTGTATTCATCACCTCATATCGTCAAGAAAACTTACTATGGGGTCTAAGACCACTTTCTTCAAGCATTATTTGTTTTGTATCTATTCTAATCAATAAAAATGGTGTTGTTCTACCCTTAGTTTTTTTTTTTTTTCTTTTTGTTCTACCCTGGTTTAAATGGAGAAATTAGTATTGGAGAAATATTTTATACAAAAAAAAAGCTAATCACTCTGAATTTCAGGCATATAAAAAATAAAAGAGACCATTCAATAGGCATAATGAAAAAAGAAAGAAGGAATGATACCAAGTACCTTTCCCCAACTATCTGTCTGCATCCCTGCCTCCCAAGGCAGAGTGCTCTCAAGATCTGATTATTTTTTCTCAGGTTGGAAGTGGACTGGCACAGATGTGATCTTAAACATGTTTATACACTTTTGGATTCTGATTGATTTTGTTATTTAGTTCAAGTAGAAAGTGATCAAGGTTGAGTTGGGTGCCAGTGTCACCTGACAACAATCTCAGCAAAGAAAAGGAAAATAGAATAGACAATTAATAAAGGTTTTGCATTTTATGTGATACATATTTTGAAGTCAAAGCTGTATATCAGATTCCTCAGGATACATCAAGATGCCACAGCATCTAAAATTATTAGAAACTATTTGCTATATAATTTTATCTTATAAAGTTTGATTAAGATAGCTGTTTTTAACAATTTGGGTTGTCTTTGAGATACATGTGGAACTGTAAGGGAAGAGAACAGCCATAATCATCTATGCTTTTGTGCACATTACTTAAGTTTCTACTTACTCAAAACTTTGAAGGGAAACACATTTTTAAGGCAATTAAAGTTTTGCAAGTTACTCAGTTTCTTTCGTGACTATTTTTGCTTAGTTTTATTTTTATGTAACCCCTCTTCCTGAGCAGATAGTGCTAAAAGGGAAGCTTTTCTAGGCTGGATGCAGTGGCTCATGCCTGTATTCACAGGGTCACTTGAGGTGAGGAGTTCAAGACCAGCCTGACCACCATAACGTGACCCTATCTCTGGCTGTCGAAGTGGCTTGCACCTGTAATCCAGCACTCTGGGAGGCCAAGGTGGGTGGATCACCTGAGGTCAGGAGATTGAGACCAGCCTGACTAACATGGTGAAACACCATCTCTACTAAAAATACAAAAAATTAGCCAGGTGTGGTAGCAGGTGCCTGTAATCCCAGCTAACTTGGGAGGCTGAGATAGGAGAATTGCTTTAACGAGGAAGGCAGAGGTTGCAGTGAGCTGATATTGCACACGCCATTGCACTCCAATCTGCGTGACAGAGCAAGACTCTGCCTCAAAAAAAAAAAAAAAAAAAAAAAGAAAAAGAAAAAACAAAAAGTGAAAGATAAAATGGAAGCTCTTCTTAACCAGACCTTTATGTTCCAGATGTAGTGTTTCTTCTCTTTTCTCAACACCAAGGAATGTGAGAGGCATTTGAATGTTTCCTCCTCTGATTATTTCTCAGCCAAGTTCCTTGTTAATTATCAGGAATTTGAAGATTCTTTACATAAATTATATAGCTTACTTTGTTGATTAGGTTGTGTCAAGCTTTCATCTGTAATAGTGAAAAAAATTATCTGCCTAACTCAGAAAGTAACATTGTTATCTCAACAATTTTTTATTTGTGGTTGACACAAGTTTTTACTCGTTAATAAAGGATTATTTGTGCTTTTGTTATAAATTATTTAATTTTTCTTGACAATTTTTCTGAAAGAAATACTTGAACAAGTAAACAGAAAACAACTGATCATTGATGAGACTTTTTAGAGGGGCAAAGGAGACTGCATAGTAGAAATCTAGTCTAGAATGTCAGTTAAGCCATTTGAAAATTATTTCCCAGATAAGGTACTGTGTACTCTAAAAAATAAGTAGGCTTATTTTATACTTTTTTTTTTTTTTTTGAGACAGAGTCTTGCTGTGTCACCCAGCTGAAGTGCAGTGGCACGATCTCAGCTTACTGCAACCTCTGCCGCCTGGGTTCAAGTGATTCTCCTACCTCAGCCTCCTGAGTAGATGGGACTACAGGTGCATGCCACCACGCCCAGATATTTTTTTGTATTTTAGTAGAGGTGGGATTTCGCCATGTTGGCCGGGATGGTCTCAATCTCCTGACCTCGTGATCCACCTGTCTCGGCCTCCCAAAGTGCTGGGATTACAGGTGTGAGCCACTGTGCCTGGCCTATACTTTTTTTTATATCTTGAAGCAAAGTTGGTTACCAGTTAAAATATATTTCTTCTTCTAATGTTAAGTAAAAACATCAGGTGTTTTCATGCTGTTACTAAATTAAATGGAAATCAAAGTCACAGTAACATGAAAATAAATTTTTTAAAAGGAATTAGGTTGGATTTTATTTTTTATAAAAGTTAACTACCTTTTCAGCAATTTGATGATTCATTTAAAGATCAATTATTTATTTTATTATAATTAGGCTTTTATTTTAGAATAATCTCTATAACATGCTTATTGATCTTAGTTTTTAAATGTTTTAGCACCTTTTCAGTGTTTGACTTATGCAGCATGCTTTGATTCTGAGGGCTTTATTTATAGAGAAAGTAAAACTCATTTTTTTTAACTTGATGAAGATAAGGTTATTTTTTCATGGTTCTTTTTATGAATTGGTGCTTGGGTACATACTACATTGCCTTATTAAATTACAATCATATATGTTAGGTTTATAAGGAACTTCAGAGATTGTCTAGTCTTCTTCCGATTCAATATAGAAATCTTGTCTAAGCTTGTCATTCTGCTTTTTTTTTTTTTTTTCCTCTCATGGTTCACTGATGCCTTTTATTTTGAGCACAAAACCACTGGGGATCTTGCCTGTGGCCACCCCAGAGATGACACTGGAGGTTCATATTGCTCCAGACACTTGGTGGAAAGCGAGGCGAGAAAAACGATTTGTGCCAATTACGTGACTGCAAAGCTAGGGATGCCAAGAGGGCTCCAGGGAGCTTGGCTTCTGTAGAAGTTCTAAGGAAGCAGTGTGAACTCCACGGTAGTGGGCAAGGGGAGCTAACTAGCAGGGTCCCCTGCAAGTGTTGGTCGGGGGGCCTGGAGCTGCCCGAGCTGACACGAGGGGAGGAGCCTAATCAGCCAACAGGCGACTGAAGGGCTGGCCTGCCCACCGCTCAATTGGCCATGGGGTTTCTGAAGTTCCTGCCAGCAAACTTAGCCTTGCTGCCCAGCTCCTCTTCAATTCTGAGGAGCTGGTTGTACTTGGCCAAGCGCTCAGATTGGCAAGGGGCACCAGTCTTGATCTGCCCAGTGCACAGCCCCACCACCAGGTCAGCGATGAAGGTATCTTCAGTCTCCCCAGAACGATGAGACACCATGACGCCCCAACTATTGGCCTGGACCAACTTGCATGCCTGCAGGGACTCGGTCACGGAGCCAATCTGGTTCACTTTGAGCAGGAGGCAGTTGCAGGACTTCTCATTTGCAGTCTTGGCAATCCTCTTTGGGTTGGTCACTGTGAGATCATCCCCAGCCACCTGGATTCCTGCACTGGCTGTGAACTTCTGCCATGCTCCCCAGTCATCCTGGGCAAAGGGATCCTCGATAGACACCACTGGGTAGTCCTTGATGAAGGACTTGTACAGGTCAGCCAGCTGGTCAGGTGAGATGTACCTGCTGGGGACATCAGGAGACTTGAAGTCCAGGTCATACTTCCCAGACCTGTAGAACTTGGAGGCCGCCACATCCATGCCGATGACCACCTTATCAGTGTAGCCAGCTTTCCCAGTTGCAGTCTTCAGCAGCTCCAGGCCTTCCTTATTCTCCAGGATGTTGGGAGCAAACCCACCTTCATCGCCCACATTGGTGGCATCTTTCCCATATTTCTCCTTGATGACATTCTTCAGGTTGTGGTAAACCTCTGCTCCAATGCACATGGCTTCCCTAAAGTTTGCAGCACCCACTGGGAGGATCATGAACTCCTGCATGGCCAGCTTGTTACCAGCATGGGAACCACCATTGATGACATTGAATGCCAGCACTGGCAGGATGACTTTGGAGTTTCCAGCCTAGTCGGCGATGTGGTGATACAGAGGGACCCCCTTCTCAACAGCACCGGCTTTGCAGATGGCGAGGGATACACCCAGAATGGCATTCGCACCAAACTTAGATTTATTTTCTGTTCCATCCATCTCGATCATCAGTTTGTCAATCTTCTCTTGTTCTGTGACATTCAGTTTCTTGCTAACCAGGGCAGGCACAATAGTTTTATTGATGTGCTCAACAGCCTTTGAGACACCCTTCCCCATATAGCGAGTCTTATCATTGTCCCGGAGCTCTAGGGCCTCATAGATACCAGTTGAAGCACCACTGGGCACAGCAGCTCTGAATAGACCGTTTGCGGTAAAGAGATCAAACTCAACAGTGGGATTCCCACGAGAGTCAAAGATCTCCGTAGAATGGATCTTGAGAATAGACATGGTGGATTTCTAACCGTTAGGTCTCGTCGCCTGGGAGAGAAGTGGAGAGTGCCGCAAACACCGAGATGAGCGTTAAGCCGGAGAGGTCTGCGTGCTCCAGGCCCTCACAGCTTCTCTGTTTTGTTTTGTTTTTGAGATGGAGTCTCATTCTGTCACCTAGGCTAGAGTGCAATGGCATCATCTGGGCTCACTGCAACCTCCACCTCCCGGGTTCAAGCAATTCTCCTGCCTCAGCCTCTCGATTAGCTGGGATTGCAGGTGTGTGCCACCACACCCGGCTAATTTTTGTATTTTTAGTAGAAACGGGGCTTCACCATGTTGGTCAGGCTGGTCTCATACTCCTGACCTCGTGATCCACCCACCTTGGCCTCCCAAGGTGCTGTGATTACAAGCATGAGCCACAGTGCCCAACCAAATTGTCATTCTTTATCTGAGAGCTTTTTTCTATTCTTGAGGTAGTTCATGACTTACTTCTCTTCTTTATCCTTTCAGATTTTGATATAAACTATTCTTGAATTAGATAGTAAGGCTTCTGTTAAATACTTTCATCCTGGTCTTTGTGGAAGGAACTTTATCTCTTGACAGGGTCTCAATATTCATTCTTTATCAATGAAATATGAGTAGATGTTCAATAAATATTTGTTAAAGCTTTAAAAGAAGGGAGGGAGAAAAAGATCATACATCACAATCCTTGTTTCAGATAATTTATTCCCATACACATTATTACTTCTTTCCATGTATAGTGATAAAATTTCCTACATGGGTTTGCAATGTCATTTTTCTGCCAATACCTTCATGGTTAATAAAGCTACATTACATGTTATCTTTTCCATGCATATTAGCAAAATTCATTATCAATTAATGTATTTAAAGGCAGCTTTCTGCCACATTATATATGTGTGCTCTGGAAACATACAATACCTCTTCATTATTCAAGTAAAATCTATATTAAACATTGAAATTCCAGTGAGAAGAAGTTGCGTAACTTTCCAATTTCAGAGACAGTTGTACACCTTCTTTGTTCTCTCTCCTCCCTGTTTCTCAAAACTCTTAGAACTGTGTTGTGCTAAGATAATTTGTAGACGTTGATGCTATTCTAATTGGAGCTTGTCTGTCATTTTAAATAGATTCCTTAGGAAATTTTATTCCTATCCAGGCAGTGATCCTAATAAGCAAGAGTAGTGATCTTCAAATAGGTTGGATGTACCCTGGGTGATGTATAGGATAATCTTTCATGTTCAGAAAGAAAATTTGAATGTTTAAAAATTTTTATTTTATTATTTTTAATTTCTGTTTTAGTATATTTCCCAGCACAACAGTATGGTAATACACGTACAGAGATACACAACAAAAAGAACATGGAAACCTCTCAGCTAGCAATCCCATTTATTGGGATGGCTATATTGCATTTTCATCCCACGTTATGGTGACTGCCTCACGTAGAAATAAATTTACAATGTTTTAAAGTACCAAATACATGTCAAATAAACAAATCTGAATTTCTTGTATTTAAAAAAATACCTTTATAAATACAAATTATAATTGGTCATTAGCTAGAACTTTATAGATGAGAAATTGTGAATATCACAATTACTCATCTTTTTTGTACAGTGATACTTCTATAATTTAAGTGAGTAGTATATGTAATGTTACTGGTTAATTATCATTAGAAAGTTTTCAATAGGGCAATATGTTAAAAATTATAGAGTCAAGATTCTCAAGTCTGGTTTTATTTAGATTTTGAGAAAGATTAAGTTTTCAATAAACTGTTATTGAAAAAATTTAAGATTTATTGAAACATTGCTATTATTGTCATACCTATAAAATGTGATATAGTATGTAGCTTAAATTTTTCATAATTTTAAAGATTATAACATTTGTAATGTATGATAAATGTATGATCTTGTCTCCAGAGAAATTTTACATTAATAAATTTTAGAACAAAACTTATAATTCTATGTAAGTTTATAATTCGTTGTTTTTTCCATAGTGATAAAAACAAGAGAAGAACTAAAACAGTAAAGAAAACATTGGAACCCAAATGGAACCAAACATTTATTTATTCTCCAGTCCACCGAAGAGAATTTCGGGAACGGATGCTAGAGATTACCCTTTGGGATCAAGCTCGAGTTCGAGAGGAAGAAAGTGAATTCTTAGGCGAGGTATTTGGAGTTGTTTTAAAGTTTACACTATTCATGTTATTCTGATTACTTCAGTACAATTATATATATAGAATATCTGCAAAAGTAGGCACAGTTTCTTTAATGGAATAAATTTCAGCTACTGCTTTGGGACAAAACTTGATACTATAGAAAACAGTGGCTCTGTATATTCTGACAATTTTTACATGTTTGTTCTTATTTTAAAACTCTGTGTTGAATGATAAAAGGTTTGTATTTCACAAATATATTCTTTTGTTTTATAGTGATGTGTATATCTTGGTAGTTTACTGAATAGACTATACCACTAATAAGTAGTTAAACCATTTGTTTATGGATTATTTTCAAGCCCTACAATGTAACCGATCCTTCAAAGGTAAACAAGGAATGTTACTTACTTCAAGGAATTTACAATTCACTGGTGATACAGACACATGAATAGCAATTAGACTATAGCATCCCAATTGCTATGAAGGGGAAAATGCAATAGGAATACATAATTGCTGTGCACAGGAGGGCAGGTGGTCAAAGGAAGTCTTCACCAAGAGAGAGGAATTTTGCAAATTCAAGGGGAGCGAAATTCCTGCAGAGGGAATAAGAAGACATCAGGTGTGCGAAGATCTTGGTCAACTGCATTGAAATTGGAAGGGAATGTGGTAAGAAATGAAGTTTGAGGCTTAAACTGAGACCAGAGCATGTCTCTTAATATATAAACAAATTTGGAGTTATCCGGTGGATAATGGGAACCAATGACCAATAACCAATTCTGTTTCCCAACTCTGTGGAGTCTTGCTTTTTCACAGTGGCATAGTCATAGCTCACTGCTGCCTGAACTCCCGGGCTGAAGTAATTCTTCTCCCTCAGCTTCCCAAGTAGCTGGGCCTATAGGCACCTACCACCATGCCCTGCTAATTTTATTTTTTTGTAGGGATGGGGTCTCATAATCTTGCACAGTCTCATATCCTCTTTAAAAAGAAAATGGTTGGATCGTACTTGAGAAAAATATTTCCAGCTGTAATGTAGAGAATTATTGGAGAGGGGAAAGATGGGAGGAAATTATCCAGCTATTAGCATGCAATTCACTTTCAGTCTTTTTAGTGTGGTTGGTATATCAGTTCATTTTTACGCTGCGGATAAAGATATACTGAAGGATGGGAAGAAAAAGGGGTTTAATGTACTTACAGTTTCACATCGCTAGGGAGGCCTTACAATCATGGAGGAAGGCAAGGAGGAGCAAGCCACTTATGCAAATTTCTGCTGCTGGCTTGAATTTCTCCTCAGAAAATGGGATTTTTTTTCTATCACATTGTCAGGCTGCAAGTGCTTTTATGCTCTGCTTCCCTTATAAAACTGAATGCTGGCTCAGTGTGGTGGCTCATGCCTATAATCCCAACACTTCGGGAGGCTGAGGTGGGTGGATCACAAGGTCAAGAGATCAAGACCATCCTGGCCAACATGGTGAAACCCTGTCTCTACTAAAAATACAAAAATTAGCTGGGCATGGTGGCACACACCTGTAGTCCCAGCTACTCGGGAAGCTGAAGCAGGAGAATCACTTGAACCCAGGAGGCAGAAGTTGCAGTGAGCCAAGATCGTGCCTCTGTGCTCCAGCCTGGCAACAGAATGAGACTTCGTCTCTAAATAAATAAATAAATAGCTAGCTAGATAAATAAATAAATAAATAAATAAAAATGCCTTTAACAGAACCCAAGTCACCTCTTGACTGCTTTGCTGCTTCAATATTTGTTCTACCAGATATCCTAAATCATCTCCCTCAAGTTTAAATTGAGACAAATTGAGCTTTGTCTCCCTCCACAAATCTCTAGGGTGGGGTAAGATGCCACCAGCCTCTTTGCCATAGCATAACAAGAATTACTGTTGCTCCAGTTCCCAACAAATTCCTCCTTTCCATATGAGACCACCTCAGCCTGGACTTTATTGTCCATATAGCTATCAGCATTTTGGGCAAAGTCATTCAACAAGTTTCTAGGAAGTTCCAAACTTTCCCTTATTTTCCTGTCTTCTTTTTGAGCCCTCCAAAGTGTTCCAACCCCTGCCTGTTACCCAGTTCCAAAGTCGCTTACACATTTTCGGATATCCTTTCAGCAGCATCCCACTCTATTAGTACCAATTTACTGTATTAGTTCGTTTTCATGCTGCTGGTAAAGACATACTCGAGACTGGGAAGAAAAAGAGTTACAGTTCCACATGGCTGGGGAGACCTCACAATCATGGTAGAAGGCAAGGAGGAGCAAGTTATGTCTTACATAGATGGCAGCAGACAAAGAGAGAGAGCTTGTGCAGGAAAACTCCTCTTTATAAAATCATCGGATCTCATGAGACTTACTCACTATGAGGAGAACAGCACAAGAAAGACCCACCCCCATTCTTCAGTTACTTCCCACTGGGTCTCCCACAACACAAAGGTATTATGGAAGTTAAAATTCAAGATGAGATTTGGGTGGGAACACAGCCAAACCATATCAGTTGGTTTTTCTGAGTAAATTAAATGGTAATCTCATGGGAAAAACAACAATCTATAGAAATATTGAAGTGAGTGTTGTCAGCTAAGGAACCAAAGAACGATAAAACTAAAAACTCTTCTATGACCCTTGGGAAGAAGGGTCACACAGTTGTTAGGAGTAGATACTCTGGAACTTGCTGTCTGCGTTTATATTGCTGGCACTACCACTTCTTAGCCTTGTGTCTTTGAACAAGTTATTTAACCCATCCTTGCATCAGATTTTTCTTCAGCCAAGTGGGAATAATACTAGTATGCAACTCAGGGTTAATATGAGGATTAAATAAGTGTGTTGTATTGTGTGTTTGTAATTCTTTGGAACATGGTACCTATAATTTTGAAAATAGCTAGGGAAAATTTAGGAAGAGTGAAATAAGTCCAGGCATGGTGGCTCACACTTGTAATACTAACTCTTTGGGAATCT